ATAGAACAGTAACAGTCTTTGCAGAACAATATCCTCCATCTACATAGTACCCATGAATAGATAGTTGTATCTGGGGATTTTTCACCAGTTCTGAAGCGTTCCATAAAGTCATGAAGTTGGCCATGTGCATCTCCATACACAACAGGATAACGAACCGCTCGCCCATTTGATTCTTTTGTTACAATTTCCTTAGCCTTTTTGCACAGAACCTGTACTTGGTTCTCATTCAGCATTTACAGTCACTGAGCTGCTTAACCCACTGGTCCAGCTATTTGATGAATGTCTTGTTGTCCGTGGTGGCTTCCTTCCCTTCCCCGCTGGGGCACTGCAGGAATAATTCAGCATCAACTCAAAAACCTGAGAGCAATGCTAGTATCCAAATTCCTTTATGATCCTTGGATTTGAACTTAGGTGTTTTTTTTTCTTTTAAAGCAGAATACCAGATTGTGCCTACGTGACTTCAGCTATGAAAAAGCTTTTCATACCAACGTTTTTCCAATGTATTTGTAGAGGATTAAATTAGAATCAATGGGCAGAAGTTGCAAGAAGTTAGGTTTCTCTCCAGCTAAAGGAAAAACATCCTTTCAACACACCATTTAGGGAAACTACTTTTCCTTTCTTTCTTTTAACTGAAGAGAGGGATATTTGGAAATTTTTTAGTGTTTGATAATTTAGTTAAATTTTTTATTACACAAACAATTTGAGTAACGATTTTCATCCAGAGCAGACTTCAAGAGTTTTTAATTGGTTACTGCTAGTGAAAGATTTGAATTTAGAAATTTTAACATTTGACTTTATTAATTGAGGTTAATATGTGAATGGAACCTTCAGTCTTTGGTGAAGGACTCCTTAGTTTTGCCTGTTTTTTAATGTTGACATGCCAGTATTGGTATCAATAAATAGCTTGTGTATATTTATAGTAACATTCTAAAAATACTAGCTCATTTATATTGATAGTAAGTTAAGAGCCAGGTATTTTGCTGAATATATAACAGGTTCATTTAATTGAATTTAAATCTCATCGAATCTTACTTAATTCTCAAAAGCTAAAAAAGCATGAAACTATCCCCTCCCCCACCAATTTGTAGATGGAGAAATACAGGCTCAGAGAGGTGCAATAACTTGCTAAGGAGACCCAGGTGAGATTGAGCTAGGCCTGTCAGTCAGACACTAAATCCATGTTCTCATACAATTTTTAATCCAAAACAGTTTCTGGAGAAATGAAAGAACAGGCAAGTCAGTTTCTAGATCTGTTATTGCATTCCTGAAAATTAAGATGAACACAGTTCATTGGGAGATGATGATTAGAGGATTTTTGGAGAAGACTCCCTGAACATGTCACAAACCTGTCAGTGTGGCTGCAGAAGGTGAAGCGTAGCAGTGGACCGGTAAGTCTGTCTCTCATTTGTACGGGTGCTGTAGCAAACCAGAATAGAGACGACCAGTGACTGCTTTAGTTTTTGAGCATTTACTCTTGGTTTTGCTTTTATTTTTCAGTACTTGGGATTGAACCTAGGACCTTGCATACACTAGGCTAGTCCTCTAGCACTGAGCTGCATTTTCAGATTTGTCTTTTTTTAAATTTTATCTTGAGAAAGAGTTTTGCCAAGTTGCCTAGGCTGGCTTCAATCTTTCTGTCTTCCTACCTCAGCCTCCCGAATAGTTGGAATTACAGATACATGCCACCATACCCAGCTGAACACTTATTCTTTTTACAAAGCATTTTCTCATCACTTTACAGTTCTGTTTGGGAAGCTGTGCTATGTAAGCAGTTGTGAGTTAGATATTTAGGAAGAAAAAGGTAACTTTTTGGCTTGTAGTTCAAAGGATCTTCATGTGAGACATCACAATACCAGTGTGAGATATAAAAGTATACAGAGGAGTCAAGGAAGTAGCTCTTAATTCTGACTGGGAGGTTGGAGACACCTTTATGAGGAATGTATTTGGTTGTAGTTAGAAGAACAGATAGGATTTTGGCAAAGATGTGTGACTATATGGGGCGTGATTGAAAATTGTGAATGTTACATTAAAAAAAATTGTTACAATAATTTCCCTCAGATTGCCATTACCTGCCATTAATCTCCCACTGACCTTGAACACATTTACCCCATCCTTCTTGCCATTTTCTGAAGCAGTTCTGGAAGTCCTCTTTTGTGTCTTTAGTTGTACTGTCACGGCTGCCTTAACATCCTGAGTCAATTCAAAATGTATGTTTTGGGCCTGGGGATTTAGCTCAGCGGCACAGCGCCTGCCTGGCAAGTGCAAGGTCGTGAGTTTGATTCCTGGTACCAGAAAAAACAACAACAACAAAAAACAAACAGAAAAACAAAATGTACATTTTGTGGTCATTTTGACTTTGTGGATGAGCCTGAAGTCATGTGGCGCCACATCCAGTGAATAAGGTTGATAAAGACACACTGTGATGTCTTTGTATTTAGATGGTGCTCGGCAGCAACAGCCACTGTATTTTTTATGACACCTTGGAAAGACAGGAAAGAGAACTTCCAGAACTGCTTCAGAAAGTGGCAAGAAGGGTGGGATGAGTGTGTTTGAAGCAAGGGGGAGTATTTTGAGGGACAATTAATGGCAATATATTCTTACTGTAGTAAAATTTTTAAAACTTTAAACATTTACTGTATATTTCAGCCATCTCTTTTTTCTTTGCTTGTTAAGTACAGATTAACCCTGATCATTTAAAAGCTATGTAGCAGTCCGTTAGTTGAATACAACATAATTTATTTAGTATGACTCCTTTAGATGGACTTCTAGGTTGTTTTTAGTTTTTTCAGTATTATAAACAATGCTGTAGCAGATACCTTTGTATACTTGTGAACTTATATCTGTGGAAGTGATGTTTAGGAATAAAATAACTAGATCAAAAGGCTTGATCATTTAAATTTGCGTTTTGCCAAATTGTCTTCCAGTAGATTATGTTTCCATTATGAGTGCCTATAAGTGATAGGTTTCTGCCCACATGAAACTCTGCCATGGTCATCATGGCGGTGATCCATCATGGCTTTAAACCTCAGAATAACAACGTGTCCCTCCAAGAGTAACTTCTGTCTTCCTCTTCTAGTCCAAAATAAACTTCCTGCGCCAACAGTCCTCCAGTTCTCTCAAGATCTGATGCTTCGCCTGCCCATATTAACTCCACCCCTAATCTAACCTAATAAAAGCCCGTTCTCCAGATCCCTCCTCTGAGGGTCCTTGCAATCTCCTGCAGCCCTCCTGCGTCAGCAGTAAAGGCTTGTTTTTATCTTCTTCAGTGACTCTTAATAGTGCCAAAACCTTACAATATGTACTTGTTTTTTAGTTTTTTCTAATTGGGTACTGTTTTATTTTTATTTGAGCATCAGTAATAAGAAAGCGTATTTTTATATCTTTCTGGCCATTTGTATTTTTCTTTCTTTTTTTTTTTTCCTTTTAGAAAGATAGTGTCTTGCTGTGTTGCCAGGCTAGCCTCGAACTCCTGGGCCCAGGTGATCCTGCAGCCAATCTCCCAAATAGCTGGCATTACAGAGATATGCCAGTATTCCTGGTTTATTTGTATTTTTCTCTAGGGAGTTACTTAGTCCTGTCTTTGCATTTAAAAAAAAAAAAGTGTAGTTTTTAAAAGGTCAATTTGTAGTATCTTCTTAGTAACCCTTTTCCTAGTCATTGTGTGCTGATGCGGGGAACATGGTAAACAAAATATAGATCTTAGAGTCTAATAGGACTGACATTGAATGATTGGTTGGATGCTTAACTGTATCATTAAATTTTGATCAGGGCTTAGAAGCAATGAAAGTATCCAAATCTGAAACGGAGGATTAGTACCACATCTCTGCAATGAGGAAGGTCACATGATATGGAGAGGTTAAGGTGGCAAGGAGGTACTGGCCACAGTTCAAATAGTGGGAATTGCAGGTGGAAAAGTAGATAGAGTCTAGATCTTCCTGAACTGCAAGGCTGTGCTGACCTGGGCTTTTGTTCTTCATCCTCAGGCTTTTGGAAAGTTTGGACGATTTATAGGCTGGAAAGTTCCAAGGAGAAATTTGCATTTTACTCAGATGAATTTGCATGCAGTTTAGAAGGGGCTAGGAGTGCTGCAGGCAGAATGAATGGCAAATAGGGAAGGAGATAGAGATGACAGAAGGCACAGGCAACAGCTCTGCAATGAGGAGGATGGTGGTTTGGATCACAGGTGGCCACTTCGTCGTGGAAGAAAGTGAGGATGTCAGGGAGGGGTGGTTCCCCCCAAAAACCGTCATAATGTTGTTATGGCTGGTTCTTCTTGGCTGGTGACCTGTGCTGATGTTCCTTAGTTAAATTACATAGGTAGTTTGCTTTTGTCCTGAGGTTAATCAGTGAAGATGTTTTCTGTCATCATGCTAGCCTCCTGTTACCGCTATGCCTAGATGTCCCCCTAAAGCCTTGTGCAGTCACATAGGTGGGGCTTTTCAGGGGTGGCTGGTTCTAGGGTGTGTGGTGCTGGACTAAGAGTGTGTGATTACTAACTTAGTCCACTGATTGGTTTGGCATAGTTTTGGGTGTAGATTATGGGAAGGCCCTCCCAGGGTGTGGGTGGCATCACCCAAAGGGTGGGTAGGCTGGATGGGATAAAAGGGAAAGGGAGGTTGCTGCTGTTGCTTCCTCAGTGCTTTGCTGTTTTGCTGACTTCCTGCCTTCTGCTCACCATGAACTGTTTCTCCTCTGGGATTCCCCTGTGCTATGCCACCCTGCTTAGGAGCCAGCCAACTATGAACTGAAACGTCTGCAAACTGTGAACTAAATAAATCTTTCCTCCTTTTACTTTGAGAGTTGAGTATAGCTATTTTGTTTTTGTTTTCATTCTCATGAATTTGAATGACTTTTAACTTATTGGTGGTTGAAGTCTGTAGAAACAATTAATAACTTTTTTTATTTTTATTTTTTTGGGACAGGGTCTCTGTATGAAGTGCAGGCTGGTCTTGAACTCTCTTATATAGCCCAAGCTGGCCTTGAACTCATGACAAGCCTCCTGCCTAAGCCTCCGGAGTTCTGCAATTGCAGGTGTGTGCCACCATGCCCAGCTTAACTTTTGATTCATACTTTACTAGATATATAGTTTGAATTTGGTCATTTTATTCTTAGAAGATAAGAGTTGTGGTAAAAGAAGGTTTAGAGAACCAATGCATGTAAATTAACCAAGTAGATTAAAAGTGTAATTTATTGATTAAAATTTAGCAGGAAATAGCATTTCTCTGAATCTTCACTCAAGAATGAAGAGAAAATCAAAGTACAGAATATTTTTAAGTGATCAGTCATATTGGACATTCACATTAGTTTTATATATTAAAGGCAGGCAAATATTTCATTTACTAACTTTAATTTTATAAAAATCCTTCAAAAATTAGATGAAAAAATGTCAAAAAGGTGGCTTTTTTACTTTCCTATATTACCTGCAAACATTTTCCAGTGAGAAAGGCTACCTTTATATCCAGAAAAAAAAAACAAAAACCCACATTGCTGATTGTTCTTTTACTGTTTTGTGATGGGATTTCATTGTAGTCACCTAGGCTGGTCCTGAACTCCTGGGCTTAGGTCATGTCCTGGCACTACGGGCACATGACACCTCCCTTGGCACTTGGTTATTCTTTCACTATCACTTGCAGCTCTCCCAGCGCATCTCTTGCTCTTTTTGGTGACATCTTTTTTTTTTTTTTTTGGACTGGGAATCGAACTCGGACCTTGTGCTTGCCAGGCAGGCACTTGTGCCACTGAGCTATATTCCTGGCCCCTGTGACATCTTTTGAAGTTATGTGCCAAGTAGACCTGTGTGGTCTTCAAAGTTCTTTCATGCCTTTCAGGTTGGTCAGATTATATTATACTATATTATATTATATTTGTCTTGGTTCCTTTTCTCTTATTGCTAATACAAAATATCCAACACCCAGAATTAAGGAAGGAAAGGTTTAGTTAGCTCACAGTTTGTGGAGGTTTCAGTCCATACTCGGCTGGCTGCAAGGCAGAGTGGCACATGGCAGAGGGCAACAGTTCATGGCAGCTGAAGACAGCAAAAGCGGCAAGAGCAAAAAGAGGGGAGCAGCAAGCATGTTTTCCTCCCTTGTATTGTAAGCAGGCTTCTCCCACCCAGGGGACATGTAGCACTCACATAATCTCCCTGCCCTCCTCTTGCACAGGCTCAGGATGTATACAAAGTAAGGATCCTGCTGAGTCACTTAGTTATCCTTCTGAACTTCTCACATTGACACAATAAACACCATCGGAAAGCAGTAAGGCCATGTCCTTTTCACCCCAAGATGTAGACCTGCTGAGTCACTTAGCCAAGCCTCTAAACTCAAGTTGACACAATGTATCAACCATAACGAATATTATATAATCTATTACAGTATTAGTAATTATGGTAATATACTTTTCTAGTAAACTTTTTAGTTACCTGTGTTGATGAAAAATAAGCATTATTGGATGTCTCATCAGAGTTTTTCATTTTTCTAGTTAACTCTTGCAGTGGTTTTATGGTGATGCACTATTTGCGAGGTATCAAGCTTTGTACCACCTGAGAATTTTGTAAACTCAAAGGATGGAAACAACTGAATTTGAATTTTGCCTGTGTGTGAATGGTGCTGATTCTTCTTTTCTTGTGGCATCGAATATATGGTTTGTTAATGTAAATTTTTATATTTTGAAGAGGTAATATATTCACATCGTTCAGAATTCAGAGGATAAGAGAAGTTAGTAATTCAGTTAAAATTACTATATGGGAACCACACACTGAGTTTTTCTCATATTTCTTCCATCTGCTAATTTTTTTTTCTTTTTTCCATCTGCTAATTTTAATCTGGTTTTGATTCACGTTTCTAAATGATGCCTTTAGTTACTGTGTATTGACTTTTCTTTGACACTCTGTGTTATTTTCCCGTTTCTTTTTTCTTTCATGATAGTATAATCAGTTTTAAAATATTAGAATATTAAATACTAATATTAATATTAAAATACCTTTAGAAAGGTATTTCACTATAGTTCCAAGGCACAAATGTAGTTTTTAATCAGTTTTTAATTTACAGCATCTATGAAGTAATGTAATGCTTCTTGGGAGATGACTCGATTTGGCCAGCCCTTTTAAAAAAACGTTCTTTTAAAGGAATTCCCATATATAATATGCAGTAGAGAAAATACTATATGAACGTTTAGATGTGTGATTCCTAAAATGCAGATCTAAATGAATAAGAATTATTAACGGTTTCAAATTGCAGGTCTCAATAAAAAGTTTTAATCCAGATTGACTCCCTGTGTTACAAAGACAGAAATGAAACACTGGGTCCAATATGGAAAGGTCACCAAGATAAACTGTTGAAAAAATGTTCAGGATGGTACATGTTTTATACTATCTTTTATTTTATATATATTTGTATTTGCTTGTTATGTACCTAAGGTAACTGGAAGGATGCAACAAAAAAAATCACCATAAGTGACTGCTTGCATTGTCAGGGTACAGTGCTTTGTACTCTAGAGGCTCTGAGGCTTCAGGGGTGTACATGCATGTGCAGTGTTGTGGATTAAATCCAGGGCTTTGCACTGAGCTCTAGCCCACCCCTTTTTATTTTTTGAGACAAAGTCTCATTAATGCTTTTTCTTTAAAAACATTTTTTGAGGTGTGAGTATATGAAAAATTAATTTCAATTTTTTTTTTTAAACCAAGGCTTTCGCGCTGAACTCTGTCCAAACCCTTTATTTGGGACAGGGTTCTGCTAAGATGCTCAGTTGCCCAGGCTGGGCTTCAGCTTCTAATCTTTCTGCCTCAGCCTACCAGAGTGCTGGGATTACAGGCATGTGCCACCAAGTTTGTTTTAAAAATAAGTATAATTTGTTTAAAAATTATTTAAAAATTAAATTTAGTACAAAATTTATGGTTTACAAGTACAGCACAATTGCAGTTGTTTTCCTTGGAAAATCTCTGGATTAAGGCAGTCCTTTGATTATTGAAAAGAAGTTTAGACTAAAAGATATGAGAAATATGTTTGTCTTCAGAGGTAATGCTGATCTGAGAGTTACAAAATCTCTTTACATATTATGTATTAACGGGTAATACCTGACACGACCTTCACAGAATTAAAGACTTCTTTCTTCCTATCTTTGTACTAAATGGGAGAGTGCTTATTTTATTGTAATCTTTTTTTTCTTTCTTTCCCCCTTTCCCTTTTTAAAGGCTGGTGGGGTGGCAGGTGCCTCTGTTGACTTGATACTGTTTCCTCTGGATACCATTAAAACCAGGCTGCAGAGTCCCCAAGGATTTAAAAAGGCTGGTGGTTTCCGTGGCATATATGCTGGTGTGCCTTCTACTGCTATTGGATCCTTTCCTAATGGTAAATACTATATGGATATTTTTCACTGCTGTAAAGTCAAGATAGTGGAATTTATTTTCATAATTGTATATATGTGCTGAAATTTACCTTCTGAATTTATTTTCTATTTTTTAATCCATTATTTTTGAGTAAGTAGATTCCATCTGTTATGGTTTATGTCTGTGTGTCCCCTCCAAAGCTTCATGCGGTCACAGGGCAGGCTTTTAGAGTTGAATAATTGTGGGTGTGAGAGCTACACCCGCCCTGGGGTGGATAGTTTGCATATGTAAGGGAGAGGAAAAAAGTGCTTGGGTGGATTCCTCCCCCATTCCGCCCTGGTGTGTGGTTGTTGCTTAGCTGTGTGCTGCCTCCCTGAGATGCAGCCCTCTGCCACGTGCCACTCTGCCTTGTAATCTGCCAAGTACAGATTGAAACCTCCACAAACGGTAAGTGAAATAAACCTTGCCTTCCTTAATTTTGGGCGTCAGATATTTTGTCCCAGCAGTGAGAAAAAAGTAACTAAGACATCATCCCAGTATGCTTGTAATAAAGATGAGTAATCTTTGAACAGTGGATTTTGGTGTTGAGATTCCCATTCAGAATCCCTAAGATTTTATTTTAACATCAGTTTGATTAGAGCTGTGATTCTGAACTTTGTCTGCAAATTGGAATCTCTTGGGAAGCTTTAAAAAATAAAAATGCCTGTGGCTCTCCCTCAAGAGATTTAATTGGTCTGGAATCTGCCTGATTATCAGGAGTTTTGATAGCTGCCCAGGTGATTCTAGTGTGAGGTCAAGTTGGGTAATCACTGCCTTGGCGATACCTGTGAACAGGTGAGTCTAAGAAGCTGTCAATTATTCCATTTTAAATTGCTCTTAGATGAGCTAGCGTTTCCCACTAATATTCTCCTAGATACCCCCTTCTAGTGTCTTTTGTTTTGGTTTTAAAGTCATGTGACTTGAGGACCCCTCACTGTATAATTAGTGTGATCTATTTTATTTAATCCACTTTTTGGTATGTTTTCAGATACTTATCTCATTTTAATTGTTATGCTGTGTGTGTGTGTGTGTGTGTCTGTGGGTGTGCTGGAGGTGGAACCCAGGACCTGAATCACTAAGCAGGCACTGTAACACTGAGCTACGGTATATCCCCACACTGTGAGGAATGCATCTGGTGGCACACCATGGTAAACTAGGCCAACAAACATAAATGATGACACAAATCCAAATCGTGTCTCTAAGAGATGCAGAAATTCTGGGCATTTTAGGATAATTCATGGGATATTTTTCTTCTTATGGTAACCTGACATTTATATATGCCCAGTCTTTGAGCAGAGATTTCACATAAGATTTGGAAGGAGAAAAATAGTGTTTCCATTTTTGTTTATCTCTTTCTCTTCTTCCCCTTCCCCCCAGCAGTCTGTAGAACAGCAGACTATTTGGGGGTTATCCTTGAACTTTTCCATGTCTTAGTATGTTTCCTTTAGTTAGTTTTCTCTTATTGCTGAGACAACAATACCCAACACCCAAAGTTAAAGGAGGAAGGGTTTATTTAGCTCACAGTTGGTAGACGTTTCAGCCCATGATGGGCTGGCTCCAAGGCAGGGTAGCACATGGCAGAGAGGCAGCTGTTCATGGCAACAGAAGGTAGCAAAAGATAGCAAGAGGAGGGGGATGGCAGACTCTTTTCATCCCTTGTATTGTGTACAGGCTACCACCTTAGGGCAGGTGTAGCACTCACGTCCTTCATCCTAGCCAAACTATGCCAAGCCAATCAGTGGGCTGGTTTACTAATCACACACCCTTAATCCTAGCACCACACACTCTAGATTCAACCACCTCTGAAAAAGCCCTGTGACTGCATGAGGCTTTGGGGGAACATCTAGACACAAGCCATAACAACTTTCAAGAAAGTGTTATAACAAGTCCGTATTGAGCGCCCATTCTGTCAAGTGTGGTTTAAGTGTGGGGGAGGGCATGCATTTGTACCAAATTTGTCTGCATTGGAATGGCCTCACCATAAAAAGTTTAAGTACAGACGCTTGTGGCCAGACTTTAGAGACTGTGCCTTAAGCTGTCTGAGGTGTGTCCTGGGCATTGGCAGTTTTAAAAAACACAAAAGTGATTCCAGTATGCAAACTAGGTGGAGAACCTTTGAGCTAAGGGATTACCCAAGCATATGTCACTAAATCGTTTTCTTTTGATGACAAGTTTTCAAGGGATTTTCCTTCACACAGACTCCTTTTTCTTCAAATATTTTTCTTTTGCATGTTGCACATAAGGATTATTTTTTATGTGAGTTAATTTTATTGATATATGTATGTATATATACATATATATGTATATATATATATATATTGGTCTGGCCATATATATCATGTGAATTATCCATTAGCATACTAGTACCAGTTCCATGTTAGAGTGTAACATTGCAGTAGTTCGTTTCATGGTTCAATTAAATCCTAAGCCAATGACAAAAAGAAAATGATATCCAGATGTGAGAACTGGCTTCCTCCTCTTTGTGGCATCTCTGAGGGTCTTTGCACTGTCTGAAGAGCAGGAAGATTTGCAGTGATTCCGTGAGGCTGGGTTTCTATAAAAGCTGAAGTAAACAGTTTCGATGTGTCACAGGTAAACAGTGGACCTGCACATAAGGATTACTGTGGGTAGGTGAATTATTAGCTGTAATATAGGGTACATGCTGTCTTTAAGATCATAGGGCTATTTTACATACATCTCCCAGGAGTTTACATATAGAATGTGATATTCTCATTCTCTCCCTCTCCCTCTCCCTCTCTCTCTCTCCCCGTCTCCCCCCTCTTCCTCTCTCCCTCTCTCTCTTCTCACTCTCTCACTTTTTCTTGCTCTCACTCTCTCTTGCTCTCTGTCCCCCTGCGTGTGCTGTGGCTTTGGAGAATGGAGGCTGCAGATGAAGAATTGAAATCCTAGAGATTCACAAATGACTTTCTTTGTCCTACACAAAGAATGAATGAATGAATTGAACTTTCCTTGGTGGTGGTGGCTGCTGCTGCTCCCGCTCCTCTCCCACTTTTTTGATGATACTGGGTATTGAATCCAGGGACCCTGTACCACTGAGCTACATCCCCAACCCCTTTTGTTTTTAATTTTGAGATGTGGTCTCCCTAAGTTGCCTAGGCAGGACTTAAACTTGGGATGCTCTTGCCTCCGCCTCCCTCCTTGCTGAGATTACAGGGTGTGCTCCTGTGCCCAGTTCATTTTGGATCCTTTCCTTCCTGTGCTGGAGGTGAAGGTTCTCGTCGAAGTATAGAACACCACTGTAATCACAGTGGCTGTGACTTTCATGAGAGTGGATTGTACAGAGGTGGGCAGTTGGGATGAAGGAGACTGAAGGTCAAAAGAAGAAAAGGAAGGCGGGCCTTCTTCCCTTTTTAACTAGTTTTTTCCATTTTATTTTGGACTAGAAGAGTGTAGGAATTAGCACCAGCTCTTCTTCTTTGCTTTACCTTGCTCAGAGACTCACTGGAAGCTTCCAGTACCATCATGTTTAATCAGTGGAGCCTTTTTGGACACTATCTGTTGGGGCAGGAGGGGGATTGGAACTTACATTCCTAAGGACACAAAAATAGTGAGAAAGTTATGTAAGCTTAAGGTAGTTGACCTGGAAGCCCAGGGACTTGTGACACTTTCTCCTTTCCCCTGAGTGGTGATGAGGTGTGGGGTGCATGTAGCTGCAAAGCATACAGCTGAGTGCCATTAGAGATTTTACAGCTGTTTATGTCGCGAGCGGGCCCGAGTGGGAATAGCTATATGAAGACCCACACATAGGTCCAAACTACGTTTGCTGCAGAAGGCTGCTGAATTGGTGATTATTTGTCTGTAGACAACATATCTCTTTATGTGGCCTGGCATATACTTGTCAGCAGCTCAACATCCTTTATGAACTTTTTGACTAAAGATCTGATGTTCACTCTTAGACTATGTTTTGTATGTTTCAGACTTGACTGTGATACGTTCTAATGTCCTTCAAAAGATAAATTTGTTATTTCTTCATCTTTCACACCTAGTCTTTTATGGGAGTGATAAACATCTTTTTATTTTCAGTTCATAGCAAATTTCAAAGCCCTCATGTGTAGGTATGATTAGTTCAACATGATAGAGGTAGCTTTTTTGAGATTTTCCTTTCTAGTTCTAGTTAAATAGTGGATTGTTTTCTTGTGAAATTGATGTAGTAAAGCATAGCCATGGTTATTTTGAGTAACTATCAATAAAACATAACAGACACATTTTATTTAAGTTGAGATACACACACATATGTTTTAACCTATATATAAATCGGGGTAGATGATTGTTTTAGGCCATATATAATGATAGTTTGTATCACAGAAACCTGTATCCTGTTCTAAAAAGTTGACTTGCTGGGTATGGTGGTTCAGGCCTATGATCCCAGAACTTGGGAGGGTGAGACAAGAGGGTTACCATGAGTTTGAGGGCAGCCCAGGCTACATAGTGCGTTCATGGTCACCCTGACCTCCCCGGCAAGACCCTATCTCAGAAAGACAAAACCACTAATCAGTGGTAAGTCACTTGCCAGTCCAGCATGGGAAATGCTGGGTTAGGGGATCAGGTTTCTCAGGGTGGGGCTCGTGTTTCTACATTTTTCTAAGTCCAGGCTTGGGCATATGCTATGGGCTGTATACATTCTGAAATGGAGTTTGAGGTGGAAAAAAAGTATGCATTTATTATCTCTGTTATCTCATAATTTAGTAATTACTGTCAGACTTCTTTGAGAAATAGTTTTATATATATTTTAACTTTGTAAAATATTGGCTTATTTTAAACTTCAGCTGCTGCATTTTTCCTCACCTACGAATATGTGAAATGGTTTTTGCACACTGATTCATCTTCATATTGGATGCCTACGAAGCATATGTTGGCTGCCTCCGCCGGAGAAGTGGTAAGTAACAAGTTAAGTTTCTGAAATACTTCAGAAATGCAAATGGTGCATGCATTGTTGGTACAAATATTTATTGTTTGAATTTAAGTTCATTTTAGTGATACATAAGAAAGAAGTTGTACATATTTATGGCCTACCATACAGCGTTTTGATACATGTATATATTGTATAATCTTTAAATCAGGTTAAGCATACTTATTGCCTCAATATTTATTATTTCTTTATGGTGCAATTTATTTATTTATTTAAATTAAATTTAAATATATTTACATAAAAATTCTGTTTTAAATTATGAAAGTCATAAATCTCAAAAATATAACCGTGTCTACGGCCATACCACCCTGAACGCGCCCGATCTCGTCAAAAATATAACCGGATTAAACATGACAAGTTATCAAAGCTAAAGTCTTAGGATGAAAGAAAAATCCAGCTGTGCACTATATGCAGGAGATTGTTCTAAAGCATAATTACACAGAAAAAATGAAAGAGTTGGAGGTCCTCGTCCTGGGGTTTCTCCTACGGGACAGTTTAAAGTTAAGTCGGCCACAGAGAGGTTGGCAGAAGATTCCTAAGGTAGAAGGGGAGCAGTGGCTGTGTTTTGCTGTGAAGGCAGGGTGGGACACTGTTGCAGCTCCTGCCCATCACGGAGCTGTGCTGGCCTGCTGTGTTGGCCTCTGGTGTATTTCTTGAGGACCCATTCTTTCCTTCACTGCTCCAAGTTCTGGGTAAAGTATGTGGGCTCTGCACTAAAAGGTGCAGATCTTTACTGTAGTTTGTTTCCTGCAGATTTGGTGAGAAATAAGTTCAGTGGTACCTTGGTTCACAAATTTAATTTGTTCTGTGATTTTGAAAAAGATGGCCACGTTTGTGTCTGAGTGGGAAAGGTGGCCGTGGTCGTATTTGTCACCTGCTGCGAACTTTGCAGACAAAACAGTGTTTTGCCGAACACTTCCGTTAGTGCACCAAATTGCTTGCAAACGAAAGCGTTTGTTGACGGTTTGTGTTCTAGTTTTGCTTGTTTCTCTCCACTTTACCACCATCTTTCTGTCTTGACTACTTACCCTCTGATTTCTGTCCCAACAGTGGCTACAGAAGCAGCAGTGCTGTGCAGACTGCCTGCTCAGCTGCATGATTGTGGCCAGATCTCTTTTATAAATCTCTCTCAGCAGGACTTACAGTGGTTTTGCCTTGCTTATGAAACCCTAATGAATACAGAATACTAAGTGAAGCAGAGCTGCTAGGATGTTAGTATTGGGCAAAAAAGACTTAAGGCAAAAAAACAAAACAAACAAACAAAAAAGCAAAACAGAAAGACCAGTATACAGTGGTGTAAGGAAACATTCTTCTGTGAGCTGTAACAAGCCTGGAGCTGTACAAAATAACACAGTCTCTGATTACATGAAGCAAAACTGACAGCATGAGGAGGAGAGGTCAAACTATAGTCTTGCTGGAGACAGTCACAGCTCTGTCAGAAAGCATTAGGACTGGGCAGGCATGAACTTATTAAGGCCATGGAAGATTTAAACACTGCAGTGGACCTGTCTAATGGATGTATGGAGAAGTCTGCACTCAGTAGTTAAAAGTATGCGTTTTCAAAAATACTTCTAAAGTTAACAAAAATGAACAACCCCATAGTCTACAAAATAAACTACAACACGTGCTACAAAAATGGACACTCTTCAAAGTGGTTACTCAGGTAACCAGATATGGGCATGTTTCCTTTCCAGTGTTTCTTCATTACTTGTCACTGTCTTTGTTTGATCAGTCTTGCGTTCTTGCATGTGGTGGCCTGAGCAACTTGCTTGAAGAAGGCAGTGTGTAATAGAACAACCGTTGTTCATTCCTGTCATCTTGTTTTGAAATCCTGTATCAGTTTTGTTGTTTTTTGTGTTGTTTTGTTCTTGTCTTCATTGTTGTTGTTTTGTCATGGTTTTTTCTCTTTAAAATAAAAAAGTGGAAACAATGTTGATTCCCCATATCCTCCAAAACAAAAGATAGCCAGACTGTCCATACCATGTGTTTAGATCAAAGAAAAAATCATAATGTAAATGATAAAATATTTTAAATAAAAAATACATAGTTATAGTTAAACAACAACCAGTCAACCAGAACTAACGCAGAGAAGGACATGATGAAAATGAGTTTTTCTGCTCCTCTCACTAACTTACTTTTCTCTCTCCCTGTCCTGCCTGATATTAAGATACAACCTCTGTTATGTTATTTGTGTGTATCTATCTAGAAAGTGTCTGCTTTTTACTAGTATTATTTTCAGACCACATGGTCTGACACTTCTGTAGGTTTATTTAATTTAAACCCCTAGCCTTTCGATAGGCGCCTACCAGGGATAGCTACATGTCATTCATCAAGCAACATCTTTTTTTTTCTCATTAGAAAAGCAGTGCTGTGTCTGCATTAGAAAACTTGGAAAACCAATAAACCTTTATAAGATTAATGTAAAAATAATTATGATATATTATAGTTTTGTTTTCTATGTAGTTTTATTCTGCTAGGAAATTAGTAGGACAACTTATAAACAGTTTTGTAACCTCACATTCTTTGGTTGAGTAATTTGGGGTTAAGGATAAGGGAGACATTTGACTTTCAAACATTTTCTCCTGTTCTTTGTGTCCTTTCCACTTTTTACCAGTGTTTTGTGGGGCTGGTGATGGAACACTGTGGTGCTGTACCACTGAACTACATCCTAGCTTTGTAATTTATTTTTAATTTCTTTGTTGTGCTGGGGACTGAACTCCGGGCCTGTGCACGGAGATAAATCGCTAGTCTTTTTTTGGGGAGGAGGGGACAGGGTCTCATTAAGTTGCTCAGATGGGAGTCATACTTGTGATCCTCCTGCCTCAGCCCCTTTCAGACATATGCCAATGTGTTTGGCTCATTTTCTTAATAGTGTGCTCTGACACCCAAGTTTTTAATTTTGATGATGTCCAGTTCATCTGCTTTTGTATTTTATTGCTTATGCTTTTGGTGTCATACTTAAGAAACTGTTGATCCAAGGCCATGAGGTTAAATACCTGTATTTTCTTGGCTTCAAAGTTTTAATGCTTATGTGTGATCTTTGATTCATTTTATTTTTGTGTGTGGTGTGAGGCTGTGGTTCAGCTATATCCTTTTACATGTGACTGTCCAGTTGTACCATGCATTTTGTTGAAAAGATGGCTTTTCACAGGTGGACGGCCTTGGTCCTCCTGTTCAAAACCAGTTAACCATAAATGTGAGTTCACACACTCTCGGTTTTATCCCATCTATCTGACAGCCCTTATGACAGCCTTGACTGTTGTAGCTTTGTAGTAAGTATGGAAGTCAGTGTGAGTTCTCCAACTTTGTTATTTTTCAATATTGTTTTGGCTCTTTTGGGTCCCTTGTGTTCCCACGTGAATTTTACAATAATTTGTACATTTCTGTGAACAAGGCAGAGGAAAATCTGGTAGACATTTGTTGAATCTATAAATTTAGTTTAGGGAATATTGCCACTTTAGCAATATTAAGTTTTCTAATTCATGTAGTCATGTCTTTCCATTTATTTAGGTCTTAAGTTTCCTTCAACAAGGTTTTGTACTTTTTAAAGTGTAAGTTTAGTACTTCTGTTACTTTATTCCTTATATATTTAGGGACTGAGAATTCATCCTGAGGCCTTTATACAGAGCTACGTCTCTGTAACTTTTATTTTTTGATACAGGGTCTTGCTAGTTGCCCAAGCTGGCCTTGAACTTTTAATCCTCCAGCTTCAGGCTTCCAGATCCCTGGGATTATGGGCATGTGCGGTCATGTGGCCAGCTCCTAATTTATTTTTTAAACTAATTGTAAATTAATTTTTCTTAATTTCATCTTCAGTTAATTCTCTGCTAATGTATAGAAATAAATTGATCTTGTGTCTTGTAACTCTGCTGAACTCATTCATTAGTTCTAAAAGTTTTTTCTGAAATCTTTGGCAAATATAAAATCCTGCCATCTGACTTCTCCTCATCCCTTTCTGATCTACATGCCTTCCCCCACCCCCATGCCTAATTGCCTTGGCCGGAGGCCCCAGGATGATGTTTATGACCAGTGGTGAGAGCAGATATCCTTGTTCTTGATCTTGAGGAGAAAACATTTATTCTTTTACCTATAGGTGTGATGTTAGATGTGAATTTTCCATGGATGCTCTTAATGAGGCTGTGGAAATTGCCTTCTGTCCCTAGTTTATTCCATGATTTTATTTTTAACAAATTATCTTTCCAACACTTCCCAACTCTTCTCTGAAGCCAGTACTATCTTACAAACTACAATTTGATCTCTTATAAATAAGCAAAAGTCCTCAACAAAATTTGTTGAAAGTTGAGAACTTCTGCTTATTTACAAGAGATCAGATTGTAAGTTTTCTTTTTGGCAGATGTCTTTTGCTGATTTTGGTATCAAAATAGTACTGGCTTCTTAAGGGTTGGGAAGTGTTAAGAGAATTTGTTTAAAAATTATTTTAGGGATTGAGACTGTTGCTCTGTGATGATGTGCTTTTCTTGTGCCAGGGCCTGCATTTGATCTCTAGCACCCAAAAAGTAAAAAAGGAAAAGGGGAAGTTATTTTAAAGAAATGTAGTGAAATTATTTCATTTTGATTGATGAAAATATATTAGGTTGGATATATAAAATCCAGGAGAAATGGAACTAGGGTGGAAATAGTCTTAATTCTAAAGAAAGCAAGTCTCTTCTTATTCATATGATAATTTGTATTGTTGAAATTTTAATGATTATCAGGGAAAAAAAAAGACGTCCAGCCCTTTTTTGGTATTTTTCCATTTTATATAGATATAGATATAGATATATAGATATATATCTATATCATATGAAACTTTATGCTTTCCTATTACTATTAAATGAATTTAAGAAATCAGTTGTAGAGCATGTCAAAAGAAATTAACCTGTTACAGGGGGCTGGGGATTTAGCTCAGCAGCAAAAGCGCCTGCCTGGCAAGCGCAAGGTCGTGAGTTCGGTTCCCGGTACCAGAG